GCTCATCGCGCTCATCGTGGAGCAGCTCAAGAGCCGGGGCCTGTTCGACAGCTTCCGCCGGGACTGCCTGGCCGACGTGGACACCAAGGTACTGAGGCCGCCGGCCCGCAGCTTCGCTCGTCCGAAGCAGAGAGGGAAACAAAAGATGCCTTTTAATTAAACACCTGCGCGGCGAGGTGAGGCCGCTCGGGGCGGCGCCCGGGGCTTTCTGGGCGACGCGCACGTGGGTCGGGCGCCCAGCCCCGCCGCTGTTGGCTGGGAATGAGCATTTTCCCCAGTCGCTTCTTTGAACTTGGGGTTTCAATACTGGTTTTTAGAGCCTACACCCCATCTTCCCCAAGATGGGATTCTTTAAGCCTCTCGGTAGCAAACCTCAGTGTGTTTCTGGGGGGGAAAGCCCGGTGAGTAAGCGCGCATGGTTTGAACGCACAGGCATCAGTATTGTGGCGGTTTGTTCCTTTTCTCCAGCTCACCGATCGCAGACTTGCGCGGGCGGCCGCGAGAAGGTACGTTGTGGTAGAGCCAGCACCCCTGTTTTGTACTCCTTCGCCGATTAAAGGGCATTTGGAACCTATTTTAAATCCTAATGCCGCAGGTGAACCCCCCCTCCTCCCCCCAGTAAGAGGCTGCTTCACTTTACCTGGCTGCCAAGGTGGTTTGGATTCAGGGAACATCTTGGGTGTTGAGTGAGCCGTGCAGGAGTTCCCCTTCTCCCTTTCAGAGGCTTCTCCAACTCGACTCCAGGTTCAGGAGGCTCTGCTACTGACGGGGCTCCTCCAGGGAAGTGGTTTCTCCTCCCTGAGCCTACCTCAGAGCAAGACTGTGAGCTTCAAGTAAGACCTTAAGGATAGGGACCCCCAGTCTGCTTAGTCATTGAACTGGATAGGGACCCCTAGTCTGCTTAGTCATTGAACTGGATAGGGACCCCCAGTCTGCGTAGTCATTGAACTGGGACTGGCCTGTGTCTGCCATGCTGTGTGGATACAGGAACAAGTCAGTCACCACCCAGTCCTCAGAGCTTGCACTCCAGCGTGGTAAACGGACATGTGCCCCAGATGGTATATATAGTAAGCGGTCTATACTGTTTCTCCTCCAAGATTAAAAGCCCAAGTAGAAGTGTTGTCCTTGAGATGAGGTGTTTGCTTTTTCTTATTTCAGGGTCTCGGGTACACACTGTCAGAGCTTTCACCCTTTCCCAGGACTCTGGGTGTGCTCAGCTTCCCATCACACATTCTCCACTCATATTTCCTGTGTTCCAGTAGGTTTTGTGTGGCCTCATCGATGTAGTATATGTTTTACTTATTTATTTTAATGAATATCGAGAAGCTGTCAGGGGAGAGGGAATTGAGCCTCCCCCCCTTAACACCTCTGTGGGCGGTCCTTCTGGTAGCTGCCAGGTGGTTTTACTCCCCAAAGGTGGGTCTTTCCAGTTGCTTTCAGACCTGTGGTTCTCAAAGTGTGGTCCTTGGATCAGCAGCATCACTTGAGAACTTGTTAGAAATGCATATTCTTAGGCCCCACCTGAGACTGCTGGAGTATTTAGGGGAACATGTTCTGATGATGTTTGCAGTTTACTTAGCAGTGCATCCAAACTATAAATAAATAGGACAAACTGATCCGTGGTCCAGAACAGGGCTAGATAATACAGTAAATGTCAGTGCCTGGGACAAAAGGGCCCTTTCACTTAGGTAATGAGAGGATTACTCTATATTGTCAGCATTTGTTGAGGTTTGGTGGGGACATTTGCTGTCCGCTGTCCTTTTTCAGTAAACTGTCATCTCAAAGCAGGTGAGTTATTTGGAATAGAAGGTATAGTATCAGGATGCATGCTTACAAGGCATGATCTAGTTCTAGCTCCTTTAAGCAAAGGGGAGGCTCTGCTGACTCATGGGATCCAAGGAAGGACTGAATGAACAAAATGAACAAATTGCCAGAAGGCTCGGGAGCATTTGGACCAGGGCTGCTCCACCAGGGCTGTCTTTCCTCTGTTCTCTATAACCGTGTCACTGTCGGGTACTGCGGGGTCATCCCTTTGGTTACTAGTATCTCTTGACTATACCTTACTCTGGCTTCCTCCTCCAGAAAGGGACTCTCAGCTCCAGTTTACAAAAAAAATCCCAGGGACTGTCTGGATTGTCTTAGCCTGGGTCAGGCACCCTCTGCTGTGGCCAGGAGAACATGGCACCCACTGCCCTGCCCTTGTGAAGAGGGGAGGATGTTACCTGGAGAAGGGAGTTGCTAGGCAGATAGGACACGAGCATGTTAATTCTCTCATTTTCATGCCTTCCTCTTTCCAGGTTTAGTGGAGAATCCTTATGTTTGTGAGCCAGCTTTCTTGGCCTCTTGGAAGAGTCCACTCATGGAGTGAAGGCCTACTGAGTCTTTTGTTGGTTTCATTTACCCAACTGTTAGCAAACTTTGTCCACAATAACACTGCAGAATAAACCAAGTCTCAGTGGCTTATGCAAGCATTTGTTCTCATACCGATAGGGCTGCAGGTGCCCAGAGCTCAGCTGGCCTCAGTAGGCTTCAGCTGGGTGGCTCAGCTGTGGGTGGCGGGTTGCCTAGGTTTGGATCCAAGCTATGGGTTGGGGTTAGGTCTGCTGCACGTATACTCACCCTAGGCCCCAGACTGAAGGGGAGGAGCCACCCAGGACATGCTGTAATAGAGGGTCATCAGGGCACAAGAGCCAGGCCAGGCAGTACAACCACCTTTAAGGTCTCATCACTAACGTCCCATTGACCAGAGCAAATCACATCGCTAAACTCAGCATCATTGGGCAGGGAAGTCTGCGCCCTCCTTGGAGGGGAGAGCAATGGACATAATACTCCTGGTTTGGAGAAGAGCAGCTGACAGCACCAGAAGTTTCTGGAGGCTCAGAACATGCATTCCTTGTGTTTACCAAGTGCCTTCTAATTTTGTTCTGATGCTGTTGGGTCTAGAATCAGTAAGTACCTCTCGGCTCCTTTTGGACTTCAGTTGTGTTTCCCCTCAGCCTTTCCCAGTGTTCTGTAGGCTTTGACTTCAGTTTGAGCTCTTGCATCATGCTGAGGTTTGGGTGGCCCTTCATTTGATGCAAGGGGCTTTCCTGAGCCTTTGTTTGTTAATGAGAATACCCTGTGAGGCAGTGGGGCAGTAATAGCACAGTTTTCCAGTGGGAAATGAGACTCAGAGGTTGCCGGACTTGTTGAAAGTCAAAGAGCTGGTAAGCAGTGGAGCCAGGCTAGAACCCAGTCCATTTGATTTGTAAACAGCCTGGGTCTAACCTTGGCTTTGCCACGCGGGCAATTTGTTTACCTTTTCTTAGCTTAAATTTCTCATCTCTAACGGGGGCAGGAGAGGGCTCATAGGATGGACGTCCCTCAGAGCAGCACTTGAAAAGTAAATGAGATAATAACATATGGCATCTGGCACTGTGCCCCCCATAGAGTGGGCACTGGTGTTAGCCAGTGATCCTCGCCCTGCCTGCCCTGCCTGCCGTGTGCTCGCCACCATGAAGTGCATGAAGAACCCGAAAGTCTGCGCTTCTCTGAAGAGCAATGTCCTGAATGACTGATTTCCAGACCTTTGATGCATGTAACTTCTGACCTTGCCTTCTTTTTAATGTTGTAGCCAGCTTACCAAAACCTGAGGCAGAAAGTGGATAATTTTGTGTCAACACAACTGGACAAGCAGGAATGGAACCCTACGATGAACAAAAACCAGCTGCGAAACGGCCTGAGGCAGAGCGTGGTTCAGTAAGTAAGCAGGTTGAGCGCGAGAGGCAGTACCACAAGTGCGGCACACAGGAGGGCGGGTGCAGGTCACTGTCCGGGCAGGGGGGTGCTCGTTCCCAGCAAATGTCACACAGGAGTTGCAGCAGACTGCCCCTTTATTAAAACCCACGTCCAAGCACCGAACTCAGCTGAAATCCTTGCTAGTTTCTCCAGCCTGTGGAGGTTTTCCTGTGCACATCTCTCCAGGGGCATCAAAAGATATTCCAATTGCAAGATATAATCCCTGCTCTGAAGTTTTCAGTAGTCTGAACATACTTGGGCATTTTAGATCAAGATATCAGGGTGTGGATCTTGGGCACACGGATCTGGGTCTTTATTCTCACAAGCGAATGCTTAGTTTTACCACCTGTTTAAATTTTCCAGCTTTTTGTTTGATCTAAGATGTATTTAACCAGAAACGTGAATTTGGACTTAATACTGGGACATTTATCTGTGATTCTTGCTAACACTGAGGCAAATTCTAATGCAGTTTTGGAATGAAGATTTGCTATTTAAGCCTGGAGTGTTGTCACCTGGTGAGACCCTGCAGCCCCAGCGTCGGCCTGCTGGCCTGGCCATTCAGGCCCAGAAGCTGGGTCCCAGGTCCATAGGGTGGACGGCTCCACAGAAAACCGAGCTGTGCTGTTGAACCTAATAGTGACAAAGTCCTTTAACTGCATGATACCTGCTCATTTCCCTGCTGTTTTAGGATCCACCTCCAGGGAAGCGAGCTGCACTGTGCTTCCCCTGATCAGGTGTTCACATCCAGGAGAGATCCCTGTGAATCTGCCTTGGAAACGGGTGTAGCTGGAAAGCGATGGGCTCGTGACTGAGGAGGGCAGCTTTGCCCCCTGACTCACCGTGGCCTGGTGCTGACCTCACTGTGTGTCACGAGCTCAGCTTGGAGGGCACACGCTGTCTAATGCAGGTCTCCCTGAGAGTGCCCTGGGCTCTAATGGTGTCATGTTTACATCCAGGCTTCCTGCTGATAAGCTGTTAGTCACCCTGATTCCAGGGAGCACTTTACCCGCCGCTCAGCCTATGGGTTCAGGGCCTGTGTCTCATCTCGCTTGTCACAGTGGCTTTCCCTCGTTCATTTTCTCTGCTGTCCCTGACACCATCTGCCCATTTACTGCAGGACCTGTTTCTACCCAACCAAGCAAGGGCTTGACTGGCCCAAGCGCTCTCAGGTCTAAAGGAAAAGTAGGGCCTTCCCTGCCTCTCATGACGGTATTTGCCTATTTCAGTCCTTTGAGAACACCTTGGTTTGAACCTCCATGGACTCTCCCAAACTTTTCAGATATCATGTGCTTTCTGTCACCATGACCTTCCTTACTACCATGCCCCAAGTGTTTGAATACAGACATTTTGGCTAATTTTTACTCTACTTCAAAAAGGGTTTGGGGTGTATTTTAGCACCTTAGGAGCTTAGAACCAATTTGTTTCCTATCTATTTACTTGTTTGCTTCCAAGTCCCTTGTGTGTGTTCTAGGCAGCAGCCATAGCTGCAGGCCATGTGGAATGGTGGCGGTGTGGTGGCCCTCCCAGCACTGCATTTGAGTTAGAGGTGGTGTGGGGATCAGCAGCCAGGTCACTGCTGGAGGCCATGTGGAATGGTGGCGGTGTGGTGGCCCTCCCAGCACTGTGCATTTGAGTTAGAGACGGTGTGGGGATCAGCAGCCAGGTTGCTGCTGGAAGCTACTTCTGCTTCGGCCAGTAAGAGAACAGATGTCGAAGGAAAGGAGTCAAGTCTGAGGCTCGCTGGCTCTGATGGTATGATGAAGCTTTTCAGCTCTGCCTGTCGTCAAGTTCTTTCCTACCATGTCACCACTTTTCATGGTCTTTGGGACAGGCCACCTAGTTTTGCTTGGTTCCTTTGCACAGGGCTGAGGTGGTAGTGGGTGAGGTTGTGAGGCAGGAGTAATAGGTGGCTCCTGGTTGTGGGTTGCTCCTCTAAAGTAAAAATATAGCAGCTGGAACTCTGCTAGTGGATCTCCCTTGGAAAGAACTCCTGAGTGGCTGTAGCTTTGACCAGTGGGGTGTTTACTGGGCTCACGTGACACTGGGCTCACATGACACTTGTTGGGGACGAAAGCATCTCAGAGGAACTAGGTAACAGAATGATCTCTCTGTCTCCACAAGGTCAGGGATGTTGGAAGCTGGAGTGGACAGAATTATTTCTCAGGTGGTGGATCCCAAGCTAAACCACATCTTCAGGCCACAGATAGAACGAGCAATTCATGAGTTCCTGGCAGCCAAGAAAAAAGAAGCTGTGCCCGCACCCCCTCCGGAGCCAGAGAGCCAGGACCCCGCAGCCCCATCCCAGGATGCGCCCTAAGCTCCGGTATGCTCTCTTTAGTCCAGGAGCCCCTTGTCTCTGACTTAGAGGTAGTGAAATGGATAGACGAGGGGTAAGCCGTCACTGGGGATGACCATCTTGTCTACCAGAAAAATAGTTACACAGATGGATCTAACCTGCTCTTTACAAGCATTTTCACTGTGCACTAAGTGGCAGCATTTTCCTGAGTAGTGAGGAGGAATCTGTGCCTCAGAGCTAAACATTTCAGCTAGGAGGTGCTTCATTAGACACCAGCTGGTATGACCAGTGTGTACAGGGAAATTCAAATGAAAGTCTTGCTTTTCTGAAATTGCTTAAGTGAGTCTCATCCCTGGACCCAGTTAAATTTGGGTTTGCAGTTTGGATATAAAATCAAGCAATGCATCCACAAGTGACTCATCCTAAATGGGACTCAAAGCCCTGCTGGATTTCCTTGTGTTTAAAAGGAGTTGAGTTTACCACTGTCAGTTACCACAGGGTTCTTCTGGTAAGCGCCCCCCTTTTTTATTACATTGGGAATTTAATTTTTAAAATCAACCATAGATGCACACAGTAATGCTTTCTGTAGGGTCTGGGCGACATTAGTCAGAATAGGTCGTGGTCGGTGGTGGGCTTGGACTTAGCATTATTAGTAACCACTGGGTTCACCTTGACCCCTCTTTCTACTCTGCGGTCTTTGGTGCTCATATGGGAGACCTTGATGCCATTACGGAGTGTAAAACATTCACAGCAAGTCTTCCCAGTTTAACTGAAAATTCCTTTAGGAACATAAGTCCAGTAAATGTAGTCTCATCAATAAGCATACTGATGGGACTCTCTTCTTTGTAGAATGTGCCTGACGTCTTTTGGAAGCTCCATTGAATAGTGATAAAGAAGTGGATTCAGTTCATAGCGATACAGCTTCAGAGTGAAGACGGGCGAAAGTCGTCGCTGGCTTCACCTTTGACTTTGGAGCGGGGTCCACACTGAGCGGGGGCGAGTTTGGCAGGAGGAAAGCTGACCTGTGTGCCCCTGCCATCTGGCCAGCCTGTCTGAGGGGCTGACACCAGCAGACACTACAGAGAACTAAAACACTACATCAACCTGGGGTTGTCCCAAAACAAACCTTTGTACTTGAATCAGGAGACTGCATGTGGATTTTAGGGGTTGTGCTTGGGGATAAACAAAGCTACGGTGAGGGAACGTGCAGTCCCAGAGTTGCAGTTCCTGAGGGCTGAGAGTGGCAGTCAGGGTCAGTGGGGCAGGGCTGGGACTGCTTATTTGTTTCTCAGAGTGCAGACTGGACGGTACAAGCCGTTAGCATCAATAGCTTTAAAGGTGTTGTGACCCTTCCCTCTTGTTTGTGAATTCTGTAGTTGCAGTGTCCTTTCCCCGAAAAGGCGACAAACACGGGGCCCTAGGATGCTTGAGGAAGCTCAGACACTAGTAAAAGGAAGCATTTGCGGGCTCTCTGCCCAGGGCTGCTTCCTACTTTGCAAGCAGGAAGTCGTGGGTGTGTTTATTTTATTCTCATGTTTGTGTTTTTTTAGAAAAGTGAATGATCCATAAATAGCCTCAGTTTTATAATAAAATCATTTGATACCCTTACTCTGAAGCTTCCACTGACTCTTAGACCCCAGGATGTGAAAGGTGAACTTTCCCTTGGCCTGCGGGGCCACATCTGTGCCCAGCATGGGACTTGAACTGCCGTCGACCTGGAGCCAGGAGGCAAAGCTGGACGGGTGGGCAGGTGCTCTCCTCCCTTGGACCACTACCAATGCCGGCCTTCAGTTGAGGGCACCTATAATTGTGTTTCTCGGATTTGAATGTGCGGAGGATCACCTGGGGATCTTGGAAAAATGCACATTCTGGTAGAGGATTCCTGAGGTGGGACCAGAGCGTGTGTCTAAAGCTGGTGCTGCTGAGGCTGCCGGCCCTCCGCAGACACTGCGCCCCACCCCTGGGTAATGTCAGAGGCCACTTCACACTGAGAGTGTGTGGTTCTTAGTTGAATCTGCTACTGGATATTGCTAATCCAATAAACTAACCTACAGGAAGTCCCAGCACAGCATCATCAATAGGTTCTCAGTAACTAACTTGAGGCAAAACGAAATATGACAAAATCCATTTTTACCATCGGCTAATTAATAAAAGGAAGCTTAAGTTCCCATGCATCTTTCTGGTCACAAAAACATCACTACCTGCCACATAAAGACCCAGAACACTTCTAATATTAAACACTGAAGCAAATGTGAGCTGTACATACCTTTAAGAAAAACGAGCAGAAACAAGATAATTACTGTCCAACCTGCTTATTCTAGTTCAGGGTGGCAGGTGCCGGAACCTGGCAGCTCGCAGGCAGGACCCTCCGTCACAGGCTGCTCACGCACCCGCTCAGATCGGGACAGTGCAGACGTGCCCGCCCACCGCGTGCACATCCCGGGGGTGTGGGAGGAACCAGTCCCAGGAGAAAACCCACACAGACATGGGGAGTATGTACCAACTTCACACAGGCAGCGGCCTGCCAGGAACTGAGGTTTTTTAGGTTCATTAACGTTGCAACAAAATGATATTATTTGAGGACCTACTGTGTTTAGTTGGTTCCGTTAAAGTAAACCGCTTCCACCTTTACATCAGTGACCCAAATGCCCAATTGACTACACTTGATGTATATTTTCGGCAGGCAGTTTTTGGTCCATCTCACTTCACTTTTCCATGCCAAGATACCGAAGCTGTTTCATTCACGGTGTTTCTATCTGTCAGGAGTGACATAGGCCAGAGATATTTCATTTGGAAAGGTTATCAGCCCACAGAAGTAACCAGCACATCACTGCCATTGCGAGGGGACTGACTTTGGCTCAGGTAAGCCAAGCAGAAAGGAAGTAGTGCCCATACCCCCTTGGGTAAACATAGGTTCATTGTCAGTTTGGGGAGGGGAGTCAAGACAAACAGCACTAGAGGGGCTGGGGGACCACAGCCAGCCCCTGCCCCTCCTTGGGACCTGGTCGCCTACCGAGCCTATTTGCATTTCCCATGGAGTCCTCATGCCTCAGGTACTAGGTTAGTCATGCGGAGTCTCAGAAAGTACTGTGTCCTGAGATGAAAGCACAGTGCCACCCTAAGGAAGATAAGCCACCTGGAGATGCTCTGCCCCTAAGTCCCCTCGCTGTATTGGTTCCTAAACAAGAAACCAGTTGCCATGGACCTCAAGGCTTCTCTCTCTAAAGGAAAACCCATTGCCATTTGCAAAAGCCCTGAGGAACAGAACTAACCTCTGTGAGACAACTGTTACCAGCCTTTAAAACCCATCAAACCTTAGAGTCGTGTGGATGTTCATTTAAGAGCCCCGTGCTGGTTTTTGAAGTCCAGTTCTTTCGCCTGGAGCAACACCTACAAGAGACCATTGCCTCTGGCATGTTCCTAGTAACCCAGCTAATGCTTGATTGGCATTACCAACCCACCTTCTCCACCCAATAGGAATTTGCAACCCCAAAATATGCCACTTCTGATTATTTTGAGCTGTAGGTACTTAAATAAACAGCAAATGCAGGGGAGGCTTTCTCTGAACGTCCCTTATCTGCCTAGGGACAGATCCTCCAAAGGAAACTGAATTGTCACCAATGCCCTTTCTGGGAATTTCATCAACCAGAAAAGATTGACTCTTTTCACGCGTGAGAACAGAAGTCCACACCACACCCATACACACTTTGTCACAAACTGTCATACTTCCTGTCTACTCAAGGGCCCATTTGTCTTTCTTAAAAATCATTTACTCTCCCCTAAGATGCCTACGTCCCCCTTCCTCTTTCCCCGATTAAGATGGTATGTAAGCCAGAGTTCTAAGCCACCTCAGAGAGTTACTCATTTTTTCCTGGGTATGTCCCACGTATACGAGGGATATATGTTTAATAAATTGTTATTCTCTTGTTCATGTGTTCCTCTTGTTAATTGGTCTTTTATTACAGGAGTCTCAGGTAAGAACTCAAGGGTAGAGGGAGAATTATTTTTGCTCTCCTACAACAGCAATAGATTGGATATGGCAGAAGCTAAACCAAGGGTCAGAGAGGCTGAATGTGGTCAAGTTTATCCAGTACTCTAACTGGAGCAGCAGTTGGGTAAAACCTCAAGTCTGTGGGGCTTCTGTGAAAAATTTAAGTGGTACACTTTGTTTTCCCGGAGCCATTTTGTCCAGCTAAAGTCTGCCTGGGATGACATCCTTAATCTGATCACTGCATGGAGGCTTCTGTCACATAAGGCTTCTCCACCTTCGCTTCTTGCTGTTTAGGGCCCCAAATCAGTTTACTTCCCCATCATTACAAGCCCTCCACTATCTGGGCTCGCGTCTTCCCTTCAGTTTCTGCTACACACTGGAGGTTTTTTGTGAGTTCACCTCTTTCCTGTAAGGCCTTGCCAATTATGGGCAATATCACCGTAACATACTGTTAACATTCTACTTTCCAAACTCCTCCCCTATCACCCCAAGTCATGAGGCCATGATCTGCCCCTGAGTTACTGCTGCCCGGTCCATACCGCTTTTACTCACCCAGCCCCACTGGGTGGTGCAGTGACTATTTGTAACCTTTGACCTGATCCCTACTTCAAGGTCATACAGCATGAACTGACAGCTCCTTCCTGAGAAGGAATGGGCCAGAGAGCAGTGACAATGAGAGAAGAAAGGGCTGAAGCAGCGAGTGCCATGTGACAGCGCCTGGCAGCTGGAGCAGGTGGCTCAGCTGCCTTGGCTACAAAAGGAGACAGCAGGGCCCCCTCCTAGGCTTGGGAGTCAAGCTGGCCCTTTAGAGACAGTGTTCCCTATTCACAGTCTTACATTCTCCACCCCACCCCCTCTGCTTTGTGTGTCTCTTGCTGTGGCTCAATGTCAGCCACTCTGGTGGCAGCTGCCTGTCTTCTGACGCCTGCCCAGGGCTCATTCCTCATACATCAAGTCAGACCACTTCGAACGTACCCACCACATTTGGTCCAAATCCATGCAGCCATTTTCATAAGCTGTGGCAACTAGCAGAAACTTATTTATATTCCATAAGTTATTAATAAGCTAGGATTTTACTGGTTTCCCATTCCAAGCACAAATCTCTCCATAAACGGTGGGGCAAGGGTGGGTGGAAACTGGACATTATTGGATCAAATCTCCACAAAAGGAGCACTGTCACGTCATTCCACTTTCCTCATTGAGTCTATGCTGTGAACACCATGCGGCTTGCCATTGACCTGGACACGCAGGACCACTTCTCTCCTGCCTTGGACAATCCTCCCGCCTCCCCACACGTCCCCGGGGACAATGTCTGCAGAGCTGTGGCTGGTAACTTGGCCCTTTAGCCCCAACCCTGACTGTGAGCTCCAGGAGACCAGCTGGACCACATGGGCTGGGTTCGCCCAGTGCAGTTCTAGGGCGGCGGGGCCTGCTGTCCTTTCAGACACACTGAGGGAGAGTACTCTGTCGTCATGCCAGGAGAGGGGACCAGCAACGTGCTCCCTGCAAGGCAGGTCAGGAGGCAAGCACTGGCGTTTTCCTAGAGGAAACGTCTCCATCAGAACAGAGCTGCTTGGCCTGTCTGCCAGGTTCCTGCCCTCACAGTTTGGAGGAGCTGGGTGACATGCCCCAACTCTGTCATTTCCTGCCTGTGCACCCACGGGAAAATCACTGGCCCCTCTGAGCCTGTCTCCTCATCTGTACAACTGCTTTGAGGATTATAGAGAATCTTTAAACGGCAACCGTTGGTATTAATTTTACTCAGGAAGGCAAAACAACCAAGGTGGAGACAGCACACCCCTGGACTTCACAGCGCCCAGGGCTCAAATCGCAGCTTCCCTCAAAAATAGCTGACGGCCCCAGCAAGTTCCTCAGCCTCTGTTCCGCATCGTGTGGACCTGGGGTAATGCGTGCAAAGCCCTCAGCGCAGCCGGGTATGTTGTAAGAACTGCAAACACGGCAGCTGCTATTATTTCCACCTCTCTCTCTCTCTCTCAGCCTGAACCGGACCCTGGCCTGACTCTGCCTTCTAGCTCACCCTGATTTTGTCCCATTTTCCAGCCAAGTGTGGCCTGAAAGCTGTCTTTGTTGGGCAACCACCCAGACCTGACCACAGCGCTGGGTCTCAGCAGTGCCACTGCTATAAACAGACAGAGGCAGGGAAGGTAAACACCACTCCCCGGGGGCCACCACCACACAGGAGGTCAGTGGGAAGGTGGCAGCGGGGTTGGATGGATGTAACAACAGAGCCCAGGGCAGGCCACGGAACAGGGCAGGCCACAGAAGCCCCTTGGCTGGGTAGAGCAGCAAACAGGTCACTGGAGCCAGAGGGCAGTGTGCCTGGCTTCTGTCTCGCCCACCCCCAGCTGGGCCTGGCCATTACCCTGCCCTGGTTTTGGCTGTCCTTCTAACCTGTCTCCTGCCAGGTGTGACTACAGTGTGCACATCCAAGGTGCCTTACACGCGCCATCTCATAACACCCTCCCCACCCCATGGGATTGGGATCACAGGTGAGGAAATGAGTCTCCGTGAAAGGATCTCAGCAAGAAGCACGCATCTCAGGTCTCAGAGTCTGCGGGCAGCCCAAGGACAGAACAAACCAGAACACACTGTCTCCTGCAGGC